CGCTCCGGCTCCTCCACAGGAACCGCAGCCAGTGGGAGCTACAGGGGCGGTGCCTGCAGACAGGGCAGCATGTAGAGCAGCATGCCTGGCTGCGCCTCCGCCTAGGAGCTGGAGAAGAGACATGTCACTGCTTCCGGGAGCCACTTGAGGTAAGCGCTGCCTGGAGCCTGCACCTCTGAGCCTCGCCCCCTCCCCCAGCCTTGACCCCCCTCCCACCCTCCGAACCCCTCGATCCCAGCCCAGAGCACCCTCCTGCACCCGCAACTCCTCATCCCCAGCCCCACCCCAGACCACACCCCTAGCCAGAGCCTGCACCCCTTCCCTCACCCCAGCCCCAGCCCTGATCCCCCTCCCACCTTCTAAACCCCTTGGTCCCAGTCTGGAGCACCCTCCTACACACCAAACTCCTCATCCCCAGATCCCCCCACCCCCAGCCAGAGCCCTCACCCCTCCTCCCTCGCACCCTACTCCCCTGCCCTAGCCTGGAGCCCCCTCTTGCACCCTGAACTCATAATTTTTGGCCCCATCCCAGACCCACACCCCCAACCAGAGCCCTCACCCCCACTCGCACCCCAACCCCAATTTTGTGAACATTCATGGCCCACCATACTATTTCTATTCCCAGATGTGGCCCTCGAGCCAAAAAGTTTGCCCACCCCTGCCTTAGGTGACAGGCCTAGCTTCATGCAGTTAACTCTGTATGGAGTCACATGCTTCTACCATCTTAGAAGCTCCAGGCTGCAGCCTCCTGTTTCTCAACAAAGTTAACAACACAGGCACAATTCAATTTTGACACCTGTAAGCTTTTCCCTTGGGTGCCTGTGACAGTATACATTTGCTGCGATGTACAAATAGCATCTTTGCAACACAGCATTATTTATTCATTCCTCAAAGGTGCAAAGGGTAAAAACAATAAAAGGTCCCTAACTTACCCCGTAAGTTTTTCTTGAGATGGAGTTAGCTGAGCTGATTGGGTCTCTGTAATATTGCTACAGTATTTCTATAAAGTAGTTAATTTTGCCTTCAGTAAGGAATCAAAGCACAAAACTATAACAATTTGAGAGCTCTAATTTTAATTAAACAGAGAACGCTTATTATAATCAATTTGAAAGTCGCTTTACCAGAAACATCATCCATCTGTGTTTTGCTCTTCAGCTCATCAGCGGTTATGACATCCTCAGTTAAATAGAATATACACTCACATTTTACATGAGCTTTTTTCTATTTTGCAAACTGAAATTCAGATAAAAAAGACTTACAAGTATATAGAACTTTTTCATATTTCCTGTTTCTCCTGGGGCTATAGAGCATCAGGTTATGAGAACCCTGGACTGAAATTATAGAATGATAGAATTGTAGGGGCTTGTCTATACTTACGCGCTGGTTCGGTGGCAGGCGATCGAACTTCTGGGTTCGATTTATCGTGTCTTGTCTGGACGCGATAAATTGAACCCAGAAGTGCTCCCCGTCGACGGGGGAGCCTGCCTGCCGCATCTGGACCGCAGTAAGTTCGAACTAAGGTACGTCGACTTCAGCTACGTTATTCACGTAGCTGAAGTTGCGTACCTTAGTTCGAATTGGGGGGTTAGTGTAGACCAGGCCTAAGACTGGAAGGGACCTCAAGAGTTCATGTAGTCCAGTCCCCTGCACTCAGGGCAGAACTAAGTATTATCTAGACCATCCCTGACAGGTAATCTTTCACCACCCATGTCTCTGTGTATCAAATTTTTTAAAATCAAAGAGCCAAATCTTTAGCTAGTGCAAAGTCTGCATAGCTTTATTGAAGTGAATGTACCCCAGTAAACACCAGCTAAGGATCTACATTAAAATGTCATCAAAAATTCCCTTTTTTTTTCTTTTCTTTTTGGAAGCGGGGGTTAGGAGTGGGAATTATGGCGTTAGTGGTGCTATTTTTTTTCTTCATGTATTTGCACAAAACAGAGTCTGCTGCGTGACTCTCATGCTGGAACTAGAATGGTAGGTTGGTAGAGCACTTTGTTCAATGAGACCTGAATCATTTGAAGAATATACGTGTACATGGATTAATAACCTGTTACAATGACAGCTTTGGAGATGTAGAGGGATGGGGAATTTAAGGCTGACAAGAGACGCTCTTTTGTTGTTCTCTTTCATCCTCCTGGGAGTTATTTTCCACCCACCTTTGATTACCAGCAGTTTCCTTTTATTTGTTTGACAAGATACATCACAGGTAAGGATTTCAGGATGAATTGTTTCTCAGAGTGCGCACATGTTTGGCTTCCCCTCACATCCACATACATTTTTATAAGTTGCCCACCCTGTATTGTGCAGGCCACTTGAAATGCTGAACTTTGGGAAAAGAGGCCCCTCAATATGGAACAGCATTGCCTTATTTACAGAAAAGCAAGTAGGGTTGTCAGCATCTGCTTCCAAAGCAAATGTGAAATTAGTCACTCATGAAGTCTAAGTGCTCCTGCCTTGTCCTAGTGTTGAATGATGAGCTGAATGACAGCTCATTTGTTTCAGCAGCACCTTTGTACATTTTTTACCGCAATGCGTAGTTAAACTGTGAGCTTTGCTGCCCTCGAATATTACAGATTATTTAAAAAAAATTAAACATGTATATGAAAAGTATTTCCTGGGTCCTCACAACAGCCAGGATAAAAATTGCCAGGCTGTCAGGCTTCCTGCTACAGTTAATAGCTGATTGATCTCTCCCTATCTGGAACCATAGACTGATTGTGTCCAGATACAATGGTGATGGACACAATGTGGGTAGATCAGGAAGATAGTTTATCCACATTGTATTGAGAGGAGGGATGGGCTTGTGATTATGGCATTGGACTAGGAATTTGGGAAATCTGGATTCAATTCCCAGTTCTGCCTCAGGCTTCCTTTTTGTCCTTTGGCAAGTCACTTACTATCCCTGTGTCTTAGTACCCTAGCTGTCAAATGAAGATAATGATCCTTCCTTTTCACCCATTCTTTCTCTGTCTTGTCTAGTTCAATTGTAAGCTCCCTCAGGTAGGGGCTCTCTTTCTTTGTGTTTCTAGTGTACCAAGCACAATGAGGATCTTGCAGGTTTGGGGCTTGCAGGTGCTATTCTAATATAAACAGTACATAACAATGATAAAAATCATATGTGCTTTCTGTCTGAAGCATTTGGCATTTCATCAGTTTGAGAGAGGATTACTGGACTAGGTGGTTTTTGCTGGTTATGGCAATTCCTGTGTGAGTAATAAAAGTATACTTTGGAAGATTTTTTCTAATATAACACACCAGGAATTTTTCACTTCTAATTAGTGTGTGTGTGTGTGTGTGTGTGTGTGTGTGTGTGTGTGTGTGTGTGTGTGTGTGTGTGTGAGAGAGAGAGAGAGAGAGA